TTGTGATTTGGAATTAATTCATCATAAACACTTTTACTAGTTTATTGTACTTTCTGTGATTCTGCATTACGCAGATTTTGCCGTATCGATCGTTACCCGATCTTGAAATGGGAAAAGCGATACCTAGTGGTAATTGCTCCGAATTCATTGGACATGGCACAAATGCGATTACATGCAGTTGTGCATGTATTGGTATATCTGTGAATTAATTTTGCATAATGCAATGCATTCAGCACTCATTTAGAATATCAAAATAAACAATATCAATCAAAGTTTGGGCAGAAAGGAACCAAAATGCTTGGTTAGTTGATCAGGAGAATGAAGTGTGCTGAAACCCGCAGCAGGATTTGCCCTGCACTGCAATCAAAGAAAGAGCCAACACCTAGACGGCAGCAAATATATACCGAGATCAAAATACTAGCGCTCTGGCAAGCTCGGCTTCAACGCCTACGGCATTTTCAGTTGACAATAAAGCTCTGATTTGCACTAAAGAACGTGCTGGTAACGAATGGAAAACGTAGATACCATGGAGAAAAAGAATAATATCCAGCGATCGGAGGCACCTCAGCCTCATGGTCTTTCAGGCACCTAAAACGTATGATTCGAATCCTTAGGTGCGCTATGAACATGACGTCGAGGTTTTGCAAACTCTGTCTGATAGACTGCTAGACGTGGATAAAGGCAGGCTGAAACACTTTGCTGGTCGCGGAAAGAGAACCGAATGCAAAAGTATACCAATGCTAGTGACTTTTGTTGCAAAGTCCTAAGTTAATATTGTTCCGCCTTAATAGGCTGAAAGGTATAATGATCCACGTGCACGCTGACATAGACCCAGCAGACTGAGATAAACTCAAGTCTGCGATGATTGAACTAAAGCGACGCACGGACGATTGAGAAACAATCTCCGTATTGTAACTTTTCCGGTAAGCAACTGGATTCCTCCGCAAATCTGTATCTACTGTTTTCTGATGCTTTAGGAGCGCCCAGCTACTCCTACTGCTTCCTGCGCGTAGCGTTTACTAACTTCTGCAGTCTGATGAACAAATACAATGAGCTGTGCTATTTGTAACCTATAAGCGGCCAGACGTTATAGGCCCTGCTGAGGCATGTTTGAACTCTGACGTAACCGCCCTAGAAGTGGGAATCAACGGCTACTCGTGCTTCCGCTATATTACGTCATCACATGATCGCGGTGGCGTTATGTTTTACAGTAGGTCATCCTTGGGTGCTCAACTAATGTTTACCTGCCGAAGCACTGATGGTTGATGTGCGTAGTTATGGTGCCCGATCTACCTCAGATGCCACTGCTTGGAGTGATTTCTACATTTTCACAACTACGTGAATAGTCTGCTGTTTCTACTCCTTGGCGATTTCAACTTACCCCGAACACAGTTACCTTAGGCTGAACGTCTTCCAGGCTACTGTGAAGTCAAGTGGAAGTTTGCGGTGTTTCTATTTCAAATTGGGGCCACACAGCACATCCATCAACCGGGAGCGAGTGATCACTCGATGATCATAGCCAGTTTGGAACCGTCGATGCCGTAATCTCCTCCTCTAGAGGCAGCATTCGACTATTGGAAGGCGGACTTTCATGGCCTCACTCGAGTAGCAGGCGGGATGGACTGGTTATAACTTGAGGATCCGCTGTCAAAACCTGTTGGACTCTCAATTAAGGAGGAGTAAATTCATCGTGCGCCTGATTTGAATTCCCCAAGTATAGGAAAATCGCGCCAGTTAATCCACGTTGGTTCCACAAGGAGAACAGCAAATTGGCACTAAGACAACGCAGAATATGGAACAGATTCATGTTATCTTGCTCTAATGCGAATTAACTGGCGTACTAAGTACAGCGCAACCTCTACAATAACGCGACAAAAGCTTAGAAGCCTCAAAGAGCAGTTTGTAACCGGTACAAAAATATTTGCAGGAAGATCATCATTTACCTGAAACGGCGCATTATGCCTTCAGGCAATGTGTCAAGGTTAGAGGGCTCAGGTACACAGCCGCTAACCTCGTGCACAGATCGCGCGTCCGCATTGGCGGCACACTTTGATTTCGTATTTGCAAGTGGCTAGATGTCTTTAACGTGTACGACGGGAACCGTCCCCATTTGAAATAGACAGCCTGGAATGCAGCATTGAGGTGTACGCAAGTTTCGGCCAAGACTTGACGGGACGAAGTATGCCGGGCAAGGAGCAATCCACCCACTGATTCTCAAGTTCCTATCGGCTATCTTCACGTCTTCTGTAACTGCGCCGCTCAACAGGTCACTATCTACTGGACAATCACCGGGCGACTGAAAATGTTCACTCTTAAAGCCAGTACGTAAAGGTGGGAACACAAGCTAGGTGGATAGTTACCGACCCATCTGTCTGAGCACTGGTTTAGTAAAGATGTTTAAGATCGTGAAGAAGCGTCTTCTGTAGCTTTTCAAGTGGAAAAGCCTCTTTACTCCTGCTGGTTTCGTAAAATTTCACTCGTGTATCACTAACCTACTGTTTGGGAGGAACGAATGGTTGCAAGCGCTGAACCAAGGCAAGTTGGTCGACGTCATTTACATTGCCTTTAATAAGGCTTTTGACAAGCTGTGTCATACAGTGCTTCTCGATGGGTTGAGGTTGTGCGCTGTTGACGGCTCTCTGCACCGATGAAGCAAGCACATCCTCGTTGATGGAATGTGAAGGGTCCAATTCCCCAACCATTTGACCCACTGGTATCCATCAAGCAGTAGCGTGTCCAAAGGCACTGTACTGGGGCCAATTTTGTTTCCGCTCTATGTAGACGATGTGCGTCAGCAATTCCATTCACATTGTGCGTTGTTCTTAGAAGATTTGAAGGTGTGGAGAGTAATTCGCCCACCCAATTATTGTGACCTGCTTCTGCAAAACCTCGACCACCTCTTCGCTTGGACAGCAGAGCTCAACCTTCCGATCAACCTGGTCAAGTCGCAATTCATGAGGCTGAATAAGTTTAAGTACAGTGGAAAAAACACGGTGGCGGGTCAACCGTTGCATCCCGCACCATTCGAGCGCGACCACGATGTATTCTCCCGCTACGACCTAACGTCCATGGACAACACGAATAGGCTTTACTAACACAGCCTGCCTATGCTTTGGGTGCTCAGACGCGGCTGCAACATTTGGTCCGTAGAGATCGCCACTTGCCTTTTCGCCTCAATATTTCGACATATGGCAGAATATAGCTCTCCAGTGTATTATCCTTTCACTGGGGGAAAGGTAGAAAAGAAAGAGCGAATGCAGCATGTGGCCACCATGCTGATTCCCAATTTACCAGGTGGGCAGTATGAAGACCTAATCAAGAAACTAGGGCTTTACACCCTAGTTTATCGTCGACTGCCTTTTGAACACATCATGACCCAACGGATGTTACATTTGTGTGATTACGCCGTGTTGAGGCAGCTGCTTCAGCTGCGCACACCAAGCAGCACACGAGGACACCGGTACAAGCAAGTAGTGCCGGATTTGCAGCGGGTTGCTCACCAACTCTCTTTCGAAAGCAAAGTGGCAAATGTATGGAACAAAATACCACATCACGTAGATGAGGCAAACTCGGTGTCGCAATTCAAAAATGTTCCTTTACAAACGCTTTGCAGATATGAAAGTTGTCGAGCGCACTCCACCATAACAGGTATTTTTCACTGATTGACGTTAGATGCAGCTATACAGAGATATCTCTTCTTGCTGCTTTCGCCTAGTCATTATTGACAATTAGTTTGTAAATACGCTGCCTGGTACCTAGGCAGAACTGATAGGGCCCTGAGTTACCGAATGAAGGAGCACTAGCCGAAATGAGTTCAAGGTGAGATAGCTGAAGTCAGACAGCGGATACACACAAGTCACCGTTATGTTCAATCGTCAGGCACTTTTAACCTCAGGACTAATGATAGAGTTAAAATGTGCATTCAAAATTACTCAACGTCACACCAATTCGCAGCTTCTGTGATTTGCTGAGTCTCTCGCCATAACCCTGAATAAACTAGTGCTTCGCGTTTAAAAGTGAAGGTCTGTCAAGTGCAGCGTACTCTGGACATGATGACACGATCCGTTGTTTTCCATGTCTTTTTCATATTTCAATGCAATGTGTACTAATTGTGCATTGGATATAACGCTGCTTCTTTCCCACTGCTCTCCGCCACTGACAACTGTTTGTATCGCTTGCTATGCTGCCCTGTGAGACTGGGACTGTCTGACTGCCTAATCACGCATCCAGCCAAGCGGAGGAATACAAATGGTCAGAATACGGTAGACTGATTAAATCTACAGATAGAGCAACTCTATTTATTGGTAAAGGAAACCTGCTTATTTAGGAGGTCAAGATCAATCACTAATCCGCGTATTGTTTCCAGCCAATGTGAGTGAATTCCGCTCCACTGAGTACTCATATTGACGAAATAGTTTGATTCTGTTGCCGCGGGCTGGTATTTGCTGGCCGATCATTTCTTACTCGATTCCAGAAATCAGCGGAATGGCCAAAACAAGCAGCAAGCGACCGGTGATCACTTTTGCATGTAGCGGATAGTCTACATGCTCCGCTTACGTCTCTATTAAGATGATTTCAAGTTACCGATTCCGGCACCGATGAGACGGTACAAAATGCATGCTTATGTGGGGTTTTGTCTTCTCACTGCAATGTTCACCGATAAGCAGTATGGGAAACAACCGATGTTACAAAATTGTTACTCTTAGAAGCCACTTCTTCTTTACATCTTTAGATTCTTAATGAGGCTGAGCACTTGTTAACATCGCTAAAATAAACTTGAGTCAAATGTTAACGATACTTCGACATGATGAGCACGATTGCGGTTGAGGAGTCGTAAACCATGCCGCATAGCATCGAACGTGTATAAATGGCGAGTGAATGTAATCGCTGATAGAGTGCACTTGAAAGAGCATTTGCTGGATCTGTCGACTCTTGTACGGAGTAATTAACTTTCTCAAAAAACACGAAGTCATAGAGTTTATGTGGCCATATCGTTTAACTTAGGTATGCAAGGACGTTACCTTGTACTTAGACTCACCAGATGTGTTCGGATGCATTTGTGACGGACTTCCGAAGCCTTAGATGGAAACAATAGCATAGATAGGAATCATATTATGCAAAAGTACATTACTTGTTTAAGAATTCGTTTGCGCCTGATGAGATCATAAAGCATAATTTTACAAGACCCACAGGACGAAAAATGCACAAGAAAATGAAAATCAAATGTTTCCAACGTGAAATATGAAGCATCAGTAGTAAAGACATCGCATTTTATCACACTGTTTTGTAGCGTTTAGCACTAATTTGACATTCTAGCAGCCTCTCAAATGTCGTAAAGTCTGGTGCGTTTACTGCATGTATTATTAGTGCAATGCAGCGTGACCAGATGCTAAGAGTTTAAAAAACTTCCTTCAGTCTATTCGAGTGTGCTGCGTTACTAGCTGATGTCTTTGACTTCGTTTAAAAGAGGCTAGGGTCACCCCTGATGCATATAGGTACACGTTTTCCGTCAGTATCGGAAATCTAAGTATGAGATTCCTGCGAAGCCGTCGGTATAATGAGAAGTAGACACCAAGCAAATGAAGGCGCTCTTCCTTGCTGAGGCCGGATAGTCAACGTTTTGCCTTGGTAGCCCATCTTTGGGGTTGCTCCACGAGACGAATACCTGATTCTAGCCATGCACATCAGGCATAAAAAGAATATGCAACCTGGGGACGAAGACATGTGTTGGTCAAAAATGATACTAGACGTCGCTCAAGTGTGTGGAGAGCTCGCCTTAAAAGCTTCAAGTTCAAGTTCGCCACATTCGCTGCTTTCGAACGATAAAGCGAATTGCACTCTTGGACCATGATACCTTTCTTGTCCACTAGTCACCTGTTGCAAAACGTGCTGCTTCAAAAGTTATGTGTTGCTGAAGCTGCTACTCATTGTCAGCAGGTGGCATATTGCAGGGTTCAGTGGGAGCTGGTTCCCTTCTGCTCTTTCGTTAATTTGGTCAAAACCGTACTGGAGATATCCACGGCCAGCGGCTAGACTAATTGGTATCCAGATTTTAACACAATCTGCAAATATCTGCTTTGAACATAAACTTTTACTTGGATATCATTTATGTAACTTAATAGCAGTAGCAGGCCAAGGCAGATCCTTGCCGTACATCACTGAACACGCACAGGCTTTCGGAATGAGTGCTGGCTATTCGTACCTAGATTGTTCGGACTTGAATGTAATATTCTAACCAGGTGAGCAGGTAATCCTTGATAACGGTAGGCAGCAAGCTTTTTCAGAGTAACGAAGTGATTGACTCTCACGAATGTAATAGAAAAAACTAGGTAACTCACATCTAAGTGGACTCCTTCATCAGCTACTCGGATCCAATAATCCTGAGCAAGAAGCAGTTGGTAAGGCAAGATCGCCTTCGTCTGAAACCATGTTGGACATCGAAAATTATTTGCAAAACTTCAAACTATCGCGTCAGTTCATCTGTGACTACTGGTTCAATCAATTTTGCTTGAACAGGTAGGAAGGCATTTGGTCGGTATTTGGCTGGGTCACATCTCTTACCTCCTTTGTATATCGGCGTGACGATACCAAGTTTCGCTCAGATGGGAGTTTTATGGGAGTCAAGCAGACACGGATAAACGTTGCAAGGTGTACTGCTTTGGTAGAAGAAAGCGTTTAAACTACGTTTCCTCAGATCATGTTGCTTCCCGAACCACTGGTATTCCGGAGAGACTGCAATCATTTACGACTGCCTCTGGATTAAAGGCGACACTGAATAAGCAGACGGCATTTGTTGGGGCTTGGTGGAGAAAAAGCTCCGGGGTATTTGTAGCCACCGATAGAAACTGCAAGTGTAGAGCATTCACGGTATCCACGACAGTAGCTGTTAAGCCACTCGCCGTGTTTGAGTGCCGGTATACCAGTTTTAACCTTTATGTTATCGTTCACATAACCATATGGCAGATGGATGTTTCTCCTAGACTTGAATAACATGTCATCCTGCCAGTCGTACGTGTCTGCGCTAGTATGTGACGCAAAGTACTTATTGATGCTCTTGTAATTTGGCCATGAGGTAACACATGGAATTAGTGTATGTTGCTTCCAAATACCATCTCTGCTGTCGATGCAGTTGAGCGTTCTGCTTCGGATAAAATTGTTGGCTACCTAGTTTAGAGACAAATGACAGCGACATTCTAAGCTAGGTGATGGTTAACTGCGAAATGTTCGTTTACAGTTTCACGTGAACGTGGAACTGCACTTGATTTAAGACGTTCCACTCATGCTTTGGCTCAGCTGGTGACTAACAATTCTGCATGTTGCTGCCCCTTGCTATCGCCAACCTGCATGCCTGTAGCGTATTGGAAGGATCTAGTGGTCATTTTTGGTCAAGCGCATTGTATCAATATTGTCAGCAATCATTAAGTGACTCGTCTTACAGCACTATTTTCTGTTAATAAATTGAACGGCTATGACGATATGTGAGGTAAAACAAATACGATAACTCGTCAAACTTACGGGGTTCCTGAGCTTGTGACGGTTTCTTGACTTCAGCTAAAATGGCAGGTGTTTTATATGCGATACTCACACCAAATCAATGTGGCATACCTGTTGGAATGTTGGTGATGTCTCATTAAACATGACCAATGTGATGAAGGAGAAATTTCTTATGCGATGCTAAATTTACGTATCTTATGACTGAATGTCAGAGGCTAGCGTACTGTTATTTAATGTAGGTATAGATAAAATCCACGTAAACGGGGCCGATCTAAATAGAACTGCAGTTTTACATGATGATGCACCATTTCGATGCAGTTTAGGATTTAATGTCACAATGCAATTACGAAACAGCCATGTGACTTGTTACTTTCTACCAATACACATGTGAGGAATAGATGTTACTGAAAAGATTAGCAACCGTAACTCAAAGAATATGTCCATGAATGGTCATTTAATTATCAGTTAACTTGGATAAGAACACGAAAATTGACAGAAAGATTTCTAAGGCGTAATTTGGTAGTTGCTGAAACTGCATGCTCAAAATTTATAAGCTGCCGGTAATCTCACTTATTTAGCCTGCATTTTACTGTTCTAAAATTCAGAGCACGAGATAGAATATAGCATTTGTCGGACGTAATAAACGCTTTATAAACAGATGTTCCTTAACCGTAACGTGCATGATATCATTTGTTTCTCATTACCTGGTAAAGTATGTGGCGTAGGCTGCATTGTGGTGAATTTCTGTCGTCTTCTTATCTTCTGAAAACAAAAGAATTGTTTAGGTTTGAAGAATAGGAATCAGTATAAAACAAACGAATCACACAAAATGGTTCCGGATTTTTGGAGCATTCGTGTTTCTACTGCATACGCGCGTCGCTCTTTCCTACGAAAAGCTTTGGGACAATTCTATTTTCACAAGCTGAAACATACTGGCTGGATATCCTTGTTCCATCCCGCCGGTGCTAGCAAGACACAGAAGTATTAGAAAAGAACAAATGCACGGGAAATCCATTGTGAAAGTTAAGTTTAGGTTAAAGTTCTGAAGTCATATTTTCAATCCACAATAAGCGCTAGAAATCATTGTTGTTGCATTCAACCTTACTGCTCTTAAGAATTCCAAGACGGAGCAACCTGTAATTAAATGGCTACACGATGTCTCTATACGCGTCTAAGAACCATGTAGCAGCGATATTAGTATTTAAAATAAACCACACCGTTTCGGCTAAAGAATGCCAAACTTACTCCAAGTATGTATCGCCTCCGTGGAGCACTTGGTTGGGGATATTATCAGGCATAAATGTGTGGCCATGATTCAGTAGTACCTTGTCACTCCAATTTTCCGTAGCACAAACACAAACTCTGATATTCAGTTATTATAGTATTTATAACCTATGTTGATTGTTCTTTATTGAAAACCTGCGAAAAATACAGATTCAGATCCTTCGCATATGTCCAGATCATTGCAGTGAACTACAGATACTAAAGCGTGTAATCAAGCGGGAGTAACGCACAATCGCAAACGCCAAAATATACTCAATAAAACACAAATCAGATGAATGCCAGAAGGAAGCGGTAAGTTGAAACGGGCATGGAGCTGAATGACAAATGCACCATCATACAAATCAAGGGAATGGAGACAACTCGTAGTTGTGGTCGCAAATAAGTGTCCTGATTTCGTTTCACAGCTAACTGCCTCATGGTCCTGTTGTAACTACCAACATTGACATGAAGTGTGCTTCAGACATTAAATAAAAGTCAAACCCGTGTAAAACGTACAAGCAAAACCCGATCTCCTTCAACGGGGAAACGAATACCTGGTGAGTACCTGGTCATTTACACTCTAAGCAAATGTTGTCAAAATGATTAGCAGAAACTCACTTTTCTTTTCCTTTCTTTCTTTTCCGTCCGAATCTTTAAATGTGACATAGAAAGTAGTGATTCACTTAATTCAAATATTCACTCACAACAAAGTATATGCCAATTAAGTTTACACCAATATTTTGTTCTAATGCTGCCCTCGCCCGTATTCACCGCGCTGCCCCCGCTTAGGGAATAAACAATACAACGGGGCCTATTAGACCGAATGGTTTTAAGAACAGCACAAGATTTATTTTATTGGTCCCTTGCTATCATCTCCGGCTGCAGGATTCTGAGCTGATTCACACCATTTGTCTGGATCGATTCCAAACCTGTTAGCAGTCCACAGTGACAAGCTGTAGCCGCAACCACTCTTGCTTTTAACTTAACAAGTTGTGTTATGATGATGGGTTGATTTCATCAGCTTCATCAGCTACCTGGGGATCACTTTATGTCTAGAAACAAATTATGGTTATCAGGTCGCGATCACGTATCGCACATACATGCAAAGCACGATACCCTTCAACAGGGAAGTAAGTGCCTGGTTATTTCGACTTTGCCAATACTAAGTAAAATCCTGTCGAACTAACTAGCAGAAACTCACCATCCTTTTCTTCTTCTTATCTGTTTCGTCAGCATCTGTAAATGTGGCATGGAAATTAGGGGTTCACTTAACTCAAGCATCCACTTAAAACAAATTATATCCTACTGTAGGTCTACACTAATAAGTTCCTAAATGCGGTAGACCAGACCGTTAATGAACGTAATAACTTTCATAAATGACCGTGTCGTATGTACTAGCTGCGAGTAACACAAGTGGTCTCGAATTTTGATATGATGTATCGCATACCACAAAATGCAAACGTAATCAAAGTCGGTCAATGTAAAGTGCGCTATATTAACGTAGTGTCTCCTTTAAAAATCATATGAATAAGAAATAGTGATAATTCAACCGATAAACTTAGTCGAAGCATTAATCGATTAACACAGTCGGGCTGATCGCGTATGCTCAATGTCCGCAAAGAAACAAATTCGCCTATATAAGATAACCAGAGCAAAGATTACTCCAGAATTCTTTCTCATGCTTGCATCTGAGTCCTCGTGCATAAGAACGAATTAGCGATGGTTGAGGCGATATGCTGTCAATTATCTGGTGCCCGCTAATAGTTTCATACATGTTGCTGATTTATTTGCGTAACTGAAATCGCATTTAGCCATACTTTGACATCTAAAACGTATCTTTTCCATAATTTATTTGTCCCATAATCGTTATTTCGCCCGCCAGCCCGCGGTAGTTTTCAAGTTAGAATGCTGCTCTACAGCCACTTTGAATGATTGCGCATTATAAGGTAGGAGGTAAAACTTCAACGCAACGAAATCCGCATGCCTTTTCCCACATCGTTCCATAAATGACTAAATAAGGGAAAACTGCTGTCTTTCTCGGTCGCTTGTATGTGTCGTCAAATGTAAGTTCATTGGGACCTTGCAAATCCAAAATTTAATCGAAACTCGAAGGAATAAAAACATACGGTTCTCGGTGATTAGTAAATGCTCAGCATTGTATCCCTGTAAGCCGCATTGATTATGCCCTACTTACTAAGACGCAGTCCGTAACACTTGCTGGAAACATACATGTCGAAACGGTTCTTAATTCTCGATAAATGCTTTAGATGCTGCAACACATGGCTGTCTGCATTACCGTTAACTTACCCCCCTTCTTAGGCGGTTGTGTGATCTCTGTTGCTAAAAAACAAAATCGAGTGACAAGGAATGTGAGCTACGCATGGCAACAACGACGAAAACCACACTGACTGTAAAGTGTAAGGCGTATTCAGTTTTAGTCCTAATGTATGTTTATGGTAAGGCATATGAAGATATGTACCTATCTGAACATTTTAGCATGGCTTGCAGCGCTGCATATACATGCTTTGACAAAACGAGATCATGGCTTACCTGACATCATGGCCACCTCATCTCGTGTCACATTTTGAACAACTGGGTTGACGGCTATACAATTGGCAGGTAAAAGTAACTGATTAGTGCTCAAAAGTTGACTACGGACTACGTAATGTGGTGAATTATGAAAATATATCGCTGGTGAACGCTAAGAAATATTTAGATAATGAGTAAAATCGCATACGTCTTCACGTCAGGTAGACTCGATATGAATCACAAACTAAGGGTTTCACAAAAACAGACATGACTATTAAGCAAATGCGTATTGATCTAATCTGGGATACCATACAGTGACACTGCCATTAAATTTCCGCTTACCAATTCTTGTCAGCTGCTCTGAATTCTCTTGGTTAAATACTGAAAAGAAAGTTCAGTACCTTAAATTAGTGAACGTTTAAGTTTCACAGAAATACCTTTCGACATTCGGTCCGTCGGCAGAAGAGAGCAGGATCTGGTAAATTGGAGCCAGTCTAATGAGCTGGTCGACGCGCATTCATACACTACTGCGTTTTCAGGAGCATTCATATGTTTTATAATCGACTTTGCATTCGGCTTCAAATCAGCATAACTATTAGTCGTTTTCAGACTGGTAGAATCGTGCAGTCTGATTCGTTTTAGGCGCAATCCTGTTTAACACTTTGTTTTAGCATGCCAAATATATCTACGACTTAACCAAAACGTAATATTTACAGCCCACTTATTTCTAGCACTTGGAAACAACTGGCCCACTAGGCTGTCCAGTTCGCAAGAAGAAGAATTGCAACCGGTCGAGCATAGCATGATTAAACTTACCGAAATGTAGATAAATTAATATTCTAGTTCAATTTATCAAAGATAATGCGCTTGGTGTATAACGATACAAATATTTTCGATCAAAAGCAGTAATAGATGTGTTCCTGTGAAAAACTAATATTCATGTAATGATTAGTAAAGATGCATTGATCGTCTGGCTGGTCACTTCCTTGCGGATTTGTCGATAGTGGTTTCTCTTTACCCGTCTCCAAATAAGAGAAGCTTTTTTACCTACTTACTCGAACTCATCATATAAACACATTAGTAGACCGGATCGGGAAAAAATGCATACCTACTAATAAGTTGATCGTCTTATATTTCTGATCCCCCGCTTCTGCCATGGTGGAAGAAACACACCGATCTTTAACTATCACGAAAACTAAACCAGCCGTGTTATAAAAGCACAGCTCCACAGTTCCTATCTCTATTAATGATCCCCAAAGTAGAGGCAACGAATTTCGGTACCATATTTGTGGGAAAATAATATATTGTACATAAATTATTACCGTTTTCTTCTATATATATATAGCCAATACTTTCTTTATCATAAGCAGAACGTATCTAACATATGCGTTTTAATTTTGTTATCGAGAGAGAGGGAGAGAATGGAAAGAGAGCACGTGTTTCTTATCCCAAGTTTGTGCCTTTGTGGAGTTGAAAGATTTCCACCCGGCATAAAATATCCAGAAAAATCTCATTCCGTAGTCATCTCATATTTGCCTTGTGTGCTGTCAAAATGGTGAGAAGGACCATACTGGCTTTGTGGACAGCATCATATGTCAGGGACGGTTTATGCCGTCGTGCATAAAGGGTTGATTCTGGCTTCTTACCCGCAATAGTTCATATAAATAGTAATGATGCTTTTGTGCTGAGCAACGCCATGAGTGGATTCAAAAACCACACCACATCTTTGCTGAATGCAAATAATCAGCATGCTAGTATATAGTACAAGTGCACAGAGCTGTCCACATCCTCAAATAGTGTCAGCAACATACCAAATTATCGAATACGCAGTAACATCTGCAACACCAAACATCCAATGTGGAAGCCACGGCCGTTTAATTCAGACAGAATACGACCATAATCCCTTGCAACATTGTTTATGGGAGAGTGCAAACTCAGCTCCGGGGACGAGTAGGGTGGGAACAGACACTGTACGGGTGGTCTCACAATACCCACTACAGATGGAAATCCCAGGGTATTGCTGAGGGTTTTTGTAGAACGGGATACAATCGACGGCTTAAGTGACTGACGAACACAAACTTGTTTATTGACAGATAAATTAAAGAAAGCGACATTTTAAATCGAAGTCAGCGTAAAATGTTTAACTGTGAGCAGGTTTGTAAATTGTTGAATAAGCAAACTCAGCAAGCCTGAAGATATGTCTAGATTATTGTCCATTTGCTCTTTGTGCGTACCTAGTTTGCAGCCGTAGCCAGAGGCAATACAATACATTTTGTCAATGGTAAAAAGTAACCTACATTGGTACTCTAACTTATTATCAGTAGCAATTAGGATAGAAATTACTGAGCATAAGCTCACAAATATCCGTTATTCAGCAAACATGCTTCTCGCTGCATGATTTTTATACCGTAGGGTGTGAATAATTAACGTAGGCATAGCCTTAATATTTAATGCAGTACATTCAATATTTAAAACGCCTACAAATGAACACAAAGCTGAAGCTTGTTGATGGAGTCAAAGTTTATTCAGATCGTCTGACAACGGTATTATATCTCACGATATTTCCCATTAGTAAAACAGACCCATTGCTTTACCAGCCAGTCACAACAATTGTCGGGTTAAAGCATTCATCTAGAATATGCGATCTAGGTGTGAATCTCTAAGCTTTCAATCGAAAAGGTTGTTTCAGATATACATTTTGCAGAGTAAACCAACAGGACAGTGTGAAGCGCTTACTGCGGTTCCAAAATTCTGGACCAATCGGTGAAGCTGAAACGCGAACGAATTGCCTGTATATGGCTTTCATGAAGCAAGCAGCGCGTGAGAACATTGCGCAAATAGAAAAGTAGGGTGCATGCATGAGGACGCCACACATATGAGTCACACCAAGATGAGGTACTACTTTGTTGTCTCGTTGATTCAACAAGAAGTTTTGATCAATGCGCAACCCAAATCTACTGCAGTGGGAGGGGGGAATCGCACCATACTCCATAAATATAGCACTGCAGATATACAAAATCTATCAGGGAAATTATAGTACATAACATTTCTGCTCGGCACATCCTATTGGTTGTTCATAACGACGAGTATTGTCTGAAGCGATCATAAAATTTAGCGATTTCTGCAAACTAACACTTCATACGATAAGGAAGTGTGTTCGAGCAATTATGCTTATCCGTGTCTTTCAAGTACTCAGGCTCAATATTCGTTCGTTTCGGGTTACACATTGCAGACAATAGCGGATATGGCAAAATATGCCTACGTCGAAATAAAGCGAACGAAGTTTTGCATTAATCAGTATAGAAAAACAGTTTCCGAACTACATGGTAACAGAAAGCAAACGGCACTGTTTACGAGGAAAGTACACATATTTTGTTCAACATGTCCTCAAAACAAGGTTCATTTGTGCGGTTTGGATAATTAGTGTTACCAAAATTTGTAAAGCAACACCTCAGCCGGCAAGCAGGTGTGTCCGGGCAATTATTCTTATAACTATTCCACAAATGCCTAGCGTTTCAATTGGTTTCACTGCGGATTACCAACAGAAATTTTGCAAAAATGGGCAAAACTTTACTTCAAACAACCATATAATCATTATAGGATGATTAGCTAAAATGGAAGCAATGGATGCACTACGTGAAAGCAAAAACAAACCATATCGTTTATTGAGGGGCTGCACATATTTGCTGGCCTAGTTCTCAAAACAAGTATTGCTGTGCTAATTGTATTTTTAGAAAAATATGGCTAAATGAGAAAACGGACAGAACACATCGGGTCCATGATTTTTCCATGCAAAAACTCATTATTTAGAGCGTGTTATAAAAGAAGCCATAAATAAATTAGGCTTTATCAGCTAATATTAAATCTGGCGGACATAAAACGCAGGCAATATTTAATGGATTATGCTAATGCAATGCCATGACATTTGGCGTTCAGCATTCGTATGAATGCTTTATGTACATATGTATGAGCTATATTATAATTGCTAATGTGTCGGGAATATGCAACTACTGTTTAGTCACTATGCTATAGGAAGACATTGTACTGTAACCAATATTTCACCAAAGAACCTACTCCATTCAGTTGTAGCTAAGAACACGATGCGGAAGACCACCCTAATACACATACACCAGCGGTAATCAGGTTGGTTCCATTGTTTGAAAACGTGTCTGTTAACACCGAGCGCTGAAAGCCCGGAAATTACGGTAACGTATTTTACGCAGGCAACATATTGCAGATGCAGATAACAAGTTGTCAACTCTTTGCATTCCCCAAACCAAACGTATAATGCTCTTCTAGGTAAAAAACGTACCTTACTTAAAGTGCGTTTATCGTTAATGGCATAAATAGAGTATTTGGACACAAGCACGTAGGCTATGTATTCAATAATTAATTCATTCATTCAACATGTCACATCTACGCCAATTAGTATACTGTAAGTTGCATAAAAATTCACATAATGGTGTATAAGTATGTAGAAAATAAATATCAGATCCGATTGTGTAAAATATGGTTGCTATTTACGAAATTATACATAAACACTGTTCTGTTTGAATAACTATCTTTATAGGCTACATTTTATGTGGTTCCAAGGCTAACCAATTCGTTCTATGTCTATCGACCCTTCATAACATGCTTCTATATGTAGATCAAACGGATGATAGAATGTGAAAACTGCGAAAGAATAGTAGCCGGTTAGTACTTCTATAAATTCTCTTTCGAAGCGTGGTTTGCCAGCCCAGGTTTAACCATGACTACCGTAAGCTTAAGCATAGCAGACAGAGGCGAAACAATGGGAAAGTATATCGGTATCATACTAGTGAATGGTGACTGTCTTCTGGCATTGCACCCCATGCCCGTTTTCTCACAGGATGAAATAGTTGTCCGTTTCTGTAGCGGCGATTCAAATTTGTGTCGCAGCGGTTAGTTGCAGATATAATTTCTACCCAAACCCAAGAATCAGTCAGGGGCAATCGTTAATTCGAATAAAAATTACTTGTTCGCTTCCGAATTTTGCACTTTCCGTTAAAGTTTCAACCCCTATTCCAGTTTCATAAATATCAACCTAATCATAATGTAGGCAGATACAGGTTGCGCGTTCTGCGCCTAAGATACTGAATTGTTTCTCCGAAATTCCCACATCACGGAATACACATACAAGCAAATACCAACAAGGCTTTGGGTGACATATAAGCTGTACACACAGAAGGGTGAAATATGTGTCACAATTACATCCTCAACTTCAAAAGCGGTTGAAACAGTAAAAAAGCAAACAAACTTAAATCCAGTGACTACGTCGTTTGAGAAAATCCACTGCCCAACACACGCCTGCAGCTAATATTATGTGTCAATAAAGATGATTTAGACAAAAAAATGATCAATGTAGTATAATGTCTACCCACAGATAAATGTTATGCTGTGATGTGTCTTCTCAAATAACCATCCCATGCTCATTCAATCACGGCTCTTTGGAAGCTATCATGAAAGAGTAAGGTCAAGCGAAAATCAAAATGAAACATTTTCGTCAACTAGTCGACCAAAATCTGATCATGCATGATTTGCAAAGTTACGAACAATATTTAGGAAGATAAGCGGTGTGCTTAAAAGTAGCAAACGAACTCTCAAAGCAAAAGATGCACGTTTACTGTATTAGCAATTTTCATATTTGTTGGTTGGCACTCTAAAGTTTAATTGGATGCTGCCTGGCGGCAGAGTATTTATATGCCATGAAAATGATACTAGAGTTTTCCAACAATTGTCGGTTTTTATAAAGGTACTACTAGCCGATGGACAAAAACAAAAAGATGTGTTCTTAGCGGTAAAAAATGAGTGCAACCAACCTGGTGTCACAGAAGAAGTGGGTACCTCATCATCTACAGACAGATGAAAGGAATAGACAAAGCTATTGAATTAGATTTTAAATAAGCTTAACGATTCATGAGCACAAATACGCAATTCATTCATGACACATCCAATGCATTGACAATTAACAAGTAAACACATTTTGCTGAAGCAATGCCGTAACATTTGACAAACGTAGGTAATTATTTCAACGTGCCCGAAACATGCACCGAACTATGTAACCACATAGTGTACTAAGTTCCGTGTCCATCAAGACAACCATAACGCAACTAAAATTACTCAGCGCAAATGTGACGGTTGTACCATGCAAAAAGTGCCATCACAATTATCTACCTAGATCCACAAAATCAATGAATGTTGGAGTCCGGTGTCGCTTAAATCGTCGATTGAATATTCACGCTCGATTGTTACTTTGAACTTCATGTCTGTTGATAATTTAGAGTAAGCAAGGTGTCACTAAGTACTGTGTGTACCAAATTGTTGTTTAATTTTTATAAGTCAAACAGCGATGCCCTTCAAAACTAAATTTTATACACGCCGTTACACAAAACCGCGCCACTATATCCCACATCAATGACAATATCCCACAAATTTACTCAACTATGCACGTATTGACGGCGGCTAACTTGTACTTGCGTCAAAATGAAGACGAATTTAACGACCGCAAATGTAGGCATTAGTGCAGTACGAAAAGTTAAATAATCAGACAATTTATGCTATACAACTCCTCCAGCAATTAGTCGTGTATATCTGTTCGTTTTAGACTAGTGCATGAGCATACACTCATTCGCCGAAATAGCAGGCTGCGCAGCAATTCAAGTGTTTGTAACAGAATACTCTAATGCAATGAACTGTATTAGAAAACCAAACGGAAATTAACAAAAGTTTGTTGAATAACTTATTTCAACGCTTGGATTGCGAACTGTCACGAAAACATTGAGGTAGAACCAAATTACTAAGAACAGTAACATATCTCATTAACAAATCTACAATCGGCGTGCTAAATTTTAAGAAACCAAGGTGAATTAAAAAATGTCGCAAAATTACTAATTTGAGTTGACTGCTAATTCGCTAGACAAGGAAGCGAAGAAATGTATTTTGTAGTTACCTTCACTGATTTCAGCTTCAGAGTCCAAATTGGATATATTCAGTTATCTATCATTAATCCTACAACGTAAATGGTCCATTTGCTTAATTAAAACACTTGCGACCAGATAAAACAAAACGCTTGCAAGCGACCAGGAGTTCCGCTTTTGCTACTTCACCATAGCACAAGGCTTAGTTATACACGCGTTATAAGCTCAACACAATAATGCGCTAGAAACATATTATATCTACCAGATTCGGGAACTTGTTTATTACATTACTTACCTCTAACATCATCTGGTGCATAGAGCCCTTCAAATGGAAAACCTATCGTGTCAAACAAAATACAGCTATGAAAAGACCAATCGATCTCCAAACAACATGTATGAATATACCAATTGACACAATACTAAAGTAAACATTTTCTTATCCGTCTACGTTCGTGGTTTGTATTGATTGATTAGACATGTGCATATTCCCAAGTCACATGGACCAGCCTCTACTATAGGGTTTGGCAAATGCATACAGTCCATGCTTCGAAACGGCACAATCATCTGAGGCGTAAGAAGTTGCTATAAAAGGAAAACCCAAAGAATCCTTGGAAACTGATAACAGATTAATCTAAACTGTGATATATATACTACTATGGAGGCAGGTGCCATTCTGCAAGGCTTCTGCACAGGCAGTACAATTCCGACTTAAATCCACAAATCACTGATACAGAGAACCGAAACATCATTAGTTTGAAAGACGTGTTGGTAAAATCCTCCATCCATCCGCTAGTTTCATGTTGTTTCTCACTTCCTCTCTCACCAATATTCCTGTCCCATCGCGTACAAGAAATCATCGAGTATTAGCGCAACCAGTTTTGCATACGCATATTCAAATCCTGACATTAACAAGTCACACATTTAAACATCCAATTTTCACAAGAAATACTGTCTTTTATTCATTTCATTTAAGATCTATCTGCAAACACTACTTCCCACATACATCTGGGTTCTAAGTATTTTTGACTTGCGGCACCAGCACAGTCTTACATGTCGACATCAAACATTTATGACTAGGGTCCAATTGTGGGAGCATAACATATAAAGCTTGATCACACTCATTGGACATAGATTTATCTATGCCATCTAGTGCACTCCGTCTTTCGAAACAAGGTTTTGTGGATCGTCTTTTATCTCCACTTTGCGGTTTGTTCACCATTTCCGCAAAAACACAATGGAGGAATTTTCCAAATCATGAACCGCAGAGGAATGGTTGTGGTTCAAACTAAAGCCGACTGCACGTTTCACCTCCGGAGTCAGCAAATACAGCTGTGGACCGTTCAGTAAATAGCTACGGTACACGTGGTGTCCGTATCGGTCAGTCCCTCTGTATGCCGCGTGAACGATCTAGCCGCCTTAACCTGCTCCCGACTGGCCCAGACGCACAGAACTTGATGAACTTGAACACGCAGACAATTCAGCGCACACGCAACAGGCAGGAGACCATAAGCGCGCAGGCCTGTCTGGTAATATCACCGATGGACAATGAATTGTGGCGACCAATCGATAGCTCATGTCACGGCATCCGAATCGACAGTAGTTTGTCGCCTTCCTTCATACCATAAAAATCTACAGATCGGAATCCAATACAGCAGTTGCCAAGGCAAGTTCCATCGCAAATTTTCCAAGCCTACAGTTAATCAGTTGAAACTACACTATAGTAAACCAGATGCGCTGTGGTTTTGTTCAGTATATAGTCGTTTTATTGGTAAAGATGGCACAGGAACTATCGCAGAAGTAAGAAAGATTAGTGGCGATATTTGAACAAATGAGAAGCAACAAAAAGGTCTTTTTTGTAGAAAGCGTGACAGAGTAAATCCTCGTCATTCCCATCACGCGCCGCATTGAATCTGAGGAAGAAGGCTAGGCAGCGCGCTAAAAATAGATCATCTGGTCCATTGCAAGCCAGTACCAACGGATGCTCAAATATGACTGAAAAAACCACTGCCAGGCCTATTGCCATGAGCACGGTCAGGTCTTCGTCTACCCTCCAAACGGTTCCGAAACTTCAGAAGGGCTTTGACACCAGTGTTGGTTGGAAGTTGTTTGCTGCCAAACGACCGAAATCTAGAAGGTTGACCACTCCCATCGGACCCTTAATAACGGAAGAAGACAAAGTTGTATGCAAACAATCTCCACCGAGTGTATACAGACCAGCCAGTCGCTTGACTTCAACCAGAGTTGCTCGTAGTATACCAGGGTAATCTGCGCCAACGTTCCAGAATCGACGTCAAAATCGTTAAAATGAAAACAACTCGATGACGTAAACTCGTGGAGCTCCATATGTAACGATACAGGTGTTGTATCTAAGCTCGTAAACTCAATTTTGATAATATTTGCGCCATTGTGGGGCTTCATTAAAATATATTTGCGGACACCTTGAACTTATCGCGGGTTCATTCCTAATCAATTCAATTTTTACTCCCATTTAGTGAAGACTTATGCCGCCATATCTCTCTGCATTATGGGATTTATTTTATTTAATCTTGTCGTTTAAAGTGTTTAGCTGTTGCATGATATACGCGATGTGGCTGCGCTTGTTGTGCATCCAGACAAGGTACTTATCTGTCTATTGCTAACTACCTCGTCCAAAATGGCTCCATGAGACAGTTGGTCGTTGCTTGAGGGGAAGGGGTGCACGGTCCCTGTGGCTGTGTTAGGATAAAAGAGTGGTTCCATGCACACAATGTGGAGCGAACTACAGTCCAGCCACGGCCTTGTGTGCGATTGATTCCCCAGATACAGCCTGCTTGTGTTTGCCTATGAAGGAATGTGGGTCGCCTCCGTTGATGAAACGTGGCTCCCATCGGCATGCCTCCCTGTCTTATTCCTTCGGGTTTACTCTGGATATGGGGTGTGTGGATGGAACCGCGGGTGTTGTAGCGTAAGCCAACAATGGTCCCTCTTTAGACGCTGGCTTCCTGTAGCTAGCCACAGTAACAGGCAAATCCGAAACCGGATGCGGTCAACCAAATTAGAAACGCGTGGCTTGTAATCCAAACGCAGAGCACTAACGTGAAACAAGTGTTCTCTAGGGTTGTGCTGATTTCTGCCAATGTAGCAGAAGCTGTCCTATTATCGACAGATCTCCTCCAGAATGGGTCATGTTCTATCCTCATATTCCCGGATGTTCCGTGGAGCGAGCGCAGACAGTCCAAGTATTACTTGGACGAAAACAGGAAGTAATTCTTACACTAGACCATCCTTTTACATGGTGTTTCCGAGGCCTCGAGATATGATGGACGGGGAGCGGTCACTCACGACCAGGAATAATGGCGGTACATCAGAGAGTCCCTCAACCTGGCAAATGTCATATAGCAATTAACCTCAAGGCTGCATCGATCGATGAACTAAAAGGGTTATGAAACGAGTATTGTTAAAGTGATCCTTGAATCTAGACAAATAACTACGATGGTAGTAGAGGAATGGTACGCGAGCCGCAGCAGCCTTCCTTTCTAGCACCGGATCAACACGGCATATGCTAAGCAAACAAACGAGAACAGCCTCTTATTCAGACTCCTTGCCGACTGCGGTTCGGATAACTGCAATCAACTAACCAACGAAACTGACAAACACACCACATATACTACATACAGAGGTAATGGTAGGATCGATGAGGCGGACACAGAGAATTTGGTCATCCTATCACAAAAGAATGAATTGTTGCCGACATTTTACCGGTTGGTAAAACATTTTAGCTATTACACCTATCCTACAATGCACTGCTGAAAAGCGAGAAACTTTTCTGTATGCACACTGGTGCGCAAGGTCTCCCGAACAAGATTTTCGAACTTCGGCTACGTCAAGTACAACATGCCTGGGACCTCATACTAACACGGAATCCTGGTTGCATTCACATGCTACCGACCTCAAAGTCGCGATAAATTGTATGTCCCCTTTCCGAAATGATCGATCTAGCAAAGGTTGGGGGTAATGTTATACTACAGCAATTACCTGCAGTGCGAACCGGTTGCTGATACGGAAACGCTCATCAAGGACTAAGTCCTGTGCAATCTGCGACTGAAACGAACCGACACTTACCTTTTAGCCGTTGTTTATCATCCTCTAATATCCACCTCAGAAGAAAACTCCCGCTTATCGTTATCCTTAGGAGCGGTCACACAAGGACGATGGAGCCACGTTCTCATCTCCGGTGACTTCAATCTTCATGATTTGGAAGTTCCGGTATCCTCCAGTCAACAGTTTAAGGCTGACCGGTAAGGGAATATGTTGAGATTTCCGCTCTTCGACCATGTCATTTCACCTACTTGATTCAGAGCTGGAATTGAACCATATTTGCTTGATTTCGTGCTCAGGAACATAGAGCTCAATGTTAAAAAACTAAGGCTAGGGAGTCCTTTGGATAGAAGCGTCCAGGTAGCCATAACCTACGACTTCGAGTGTTATGCGGAGTATCTGCAAGAACATTCGAACTTGTTTTGAACAATCGCCCACTACGACATACTTGCAGAACTTTTGGGAGAGGCCGCATTTGAGTTTCTGAACGACTGTTCCATTGACAGTGCTTAGTTACATTTTACAGGCAAGTTCAGTGATCTGATTAAATCTGCATCGGCCAACAAACCCCTTCGTTCTAAAAGGGCACACATATTTATTCGTAGTAGAACCTAAAAATTCATGACAGTCAGAGGCGCTGCGTAACATGTATGTAGAGCGAAACCTAGCCCTCACAGCTGCAGTAACTATGTTGTGTATCGTAATCACTGCACCACACTTGTGCGTCAGGACAAATTAGTACACCAGCAGTGTCAAGCGGAAACGTTTTGTGTTAACAAAATCTTCTGTACTGACAAGTGAACAGCATCCAGAATGTAAAAAATGGTTAAAATTTGGCAATTCAGTGGGCTCTACCTCACACAAGCGGGTGGAGCCATTGTCCCGTATTAACTGATCATATAGATAAGACGTTTGGGACTTGTCATACACTTTTCCAAAACATTCGACCGTATAGATCCCTGCATCCTTGGATAAAACCTGCAAGAATAAATAGTTAGATACACTGCATGGTTCGTAACCTTTCTATTTCATCTGCGCCTGCAGGTTCGCATTTCAGGTTCATTTTCTTATCCGATTGGAGTGGACTGCGTTGTTTGACAAGGGTCGGTCTCAGGGTCGCGGTTACTTTCGTTCTTCATTATTGACCTTGCGTGTTCAGCATGCCAGATATCCTTACCTCCTGCCGATGACATCAAGATGTGGAAGACAATCGACTGTCAGGAAGATCATGATGGTTTGCAACAAGACTTCGCTTTGGAATGGTCAAGATTAATCAAATACCGTTTTACACGGTCAAGTGCAAAACCGCGCAAGCTCGCCACAAGCGCATGCACGTCGATAAGCTTAGAGAAAATATGCTAAATGCCGTCTCACAAGATCGAGACTTTGGGAAGGTAATCCAAGACCACCTCAGCTGTACGGCGCAGTCCTTGAAAGAGTCTACAACTGCAAACCAACATGGTCTGTTACGGAGGGCGTTCGGGAGGTTCGATCCCTCCATCTTTCTCTAATGGCTCAATGTGTATGTGAGGTCCCATCTACAGTAAGCACTCCAGACTTTGCAACCCTGTTTACAACGCGACCTAGTTGCACTGGAGACCTTACAGCGACGAGCAATGAAAAATGTGAACGGTTTGTCCCACTTGCAATAACCTAGGCGACTGATATCGATGGGATTGTAGAGTGGAAGATATGACCGTCCACGGGGTTACCTCATCCCGGCGCTCCAGATTTTAAAGACCCTGGTTACGCTTGCTGCCACCTCTGAATATAAGCTGCAAAACGGAAATCAGTAGTCATACATTGCAGTTTTCCACACAAAACAGTCGGCTTGAATGCCGCTGGCATTACTTATCCATTAGAGTTTGTCAACCGTGACATTTGTCATTTTGCCTCCTGCTACCCATTTTTAAAATACGACTTGACCGTGATTTACACCACCTACATTTCTTGAGCTGGTTTCTATTCACTGAGTGATGACAAGAAGCAGACAAACATTGTGCTTATCAACCTCGCGATATCGGGTAGCCGGATATACCTGTGTTAACGCGGATAACATGGTGACTCCACCGATGTGTTTTTCAATTTTGTGTAACTTCATTGAATCCACTTTATTTTCACAAACCATCCCACGGGATTTTACAAGCTTTGGATTTCATTATCTGTATTATATCATTGTTCCAAGGTTCCAGTGAATTCCGTTTCCCAAAATAAATGAATTTTGCCTTACCATATCCGTTCAATGTCTATCAAACCGAATATACATCGAACTAGATTGCACATTATTCATAAGTCCCAAATTCAAACCTGGTGAGAAGCATGCAGCAAGCGATAATGCAATTCCAGTTGTGCAATACGGATATTTCGTAACCCGATTGTAATTCTTGATCCAGTGACTCTATTTGTCTTGGCTTAGAACAACCTAATGTCGATAAAGCTGAGGAACGAACTCATATGTATCAACTGGAAATTTAATATGAATTGATGCACTGGAAACTTGTGCATTCATTCTATTGGCATTGCCCTATATACATATTACTAAAATGAGAGCACTTTTCCTGCATAGCAATCAAGATTCTCATGGGATATTAACTGTTGTACACGCGATATGGTAGCATCACACTTGTATTGAGATTTATTGAGTAAGTCGCAAATGCAGAAAGAAATAAGGATGACTCACCGTCGATTGAGGAAATATCAATGTCGGATGCCACTGAAAAACAGTAGGGATGCAGTGTATACCGAGGATTATATGCCACGGCATACGTACATTTTGTAGTCTATCGCTCAGAATTTGGTAAAATTGAGACAACAGATAAGACATATATTCAGGCAACCACGTACGTGAGGAAACGTAATAGAAGTAGGGTTCGGAGTTTCCAGTTTGTGTATCAGACCTTGATCAACATCCGCAGTTCAAAAATTCGTTTGATGATTAAAAGTTACAATTAGTTGTGTGGTTTGTCTCTCCAGATCCCATTGTTTTCAATAAGGGTGAAATAAGTTTACTGCACTATGTCAAACACAGTGAGCCACAAAGCGATGAAGTGCGCCGATGCATTGAAGCCGCAGCGCCGTCTTACTGCTATGATGATGTTATGTAGATTCAGAACGGGAACATGCAGACATGCAAAAATTTAATTGTTGACTTTCTGATGCGTTTGCATATTCACGTAATCGAACCTGGGGCTCAGCTCATAGTGAAGCGATAATTGTTTACAATAGACATTACTACGGCGTGGATGTAGCTGGCACCAATAGAACCGACAGATTTAGGCCGAAACATAACCGCAGAATAAAATGTTAGCTAGTCGTGGTTAGCTTCAGAGTATGGAATCCAACACTCAATAAGTTCATTAAAACTTTATGCCACATTTTTATGCAATCTTTTGACAAAGCATGAGGAGAGGTCACAAAGAGGGAGAATTATACATAACTACGAGATATGATGATTAGTTTGTCCGGTACCCTATCAAGCACACACACAGATTTTTGAGGATATGTCCATTCTGATCGATTAGAAAAGAACATGACCACATATCCCTACATACATTAGATGGTCCGCGAGTACATAGTTGAGAGCGGCAGGCACTCCCAATAACTTCCTACCTTAAACACTGAAACTTGTGCCAGCTTACCAGTTCATTCTATGACACAAAGCAATTCACCTGACGAGCATCGATTAATGCTTGAGAGGGTCAGTATGGACCTGCTGAGGGCTTATAGAAAACTGTTGGCACTCTGCTATAAGTTGAACAATGTGAGAGAAATATGCGCACTGCCAACTGTACTTTTAAATTCGACATGTACGAAGTCAAGGAAACTGGGATCACTTGGAATAACGAAAACTTGGAGCTGCTTCCAGTCTATACAAATTTTTGTCTTGAAACACTACGACAATGTTGCTTATCTGTGATGGCTCACAAAATAAGCCATGCAGCACTGGATAAATTAGCCATCGTGTTCAACCAGAATTTGAACTTTCCAAAACTCAAGTCCTCCTAAATTGGCGGGGAAGCACTCCTCACTTAATCTTAACTATGAGCAGTTAGATAACGCCAAGAAATTCAACTAAATTCTCGGGTATATTAACGCTCGTGGAATTGAAGATGCGATTTCTCACCGTATAGCAAAATCTAGAGGACATTCACTAAAATACGGCGACTGTGTCGCTAATGTTCCATCAACCTCGATCTCAAGCGAGGAGGTTATAATGCAGCCGTCCGTTCAAACATTTTGTACGGATGGGAATCCAAGCTACTCAGCTAGACAGACCTAAAGGGCCTGGTGAATTTTGACCTCAGATGTTATCGTAGTTTGGCTCATAACCAGTGGGAACTCCACGGAAGCAATGAACGGGTTCGGAGTCGTGAACTTAGTGCAGAAAGTGGGAGCGAACCGCTCAACACCGTTATTTCAAGCATCAAGCCATGATGTTTAGGTGAAGTGTCCCGCACGCAAGTAACCCGACTCTTGCAACTTGCGTTGCATGCGAGCCGGATTTGTGACTGGGAAAGGCAGAGCAGATGCCAAGCTATGACTTGAAAAACAGAATGCATTCCGTTAATTGGAACTTAGTATCAGTTATTGTCTCCGGGCTGCCGGCTGGGGTCCAAAGAAAACGGAACACGTTTGGCTGGCTACACCTGTTGACATAGCAAGGAGCTGACATCAACGAACTTGGTGTTATGAGTTCTCCTGTTCATCCACATCTAATTATTTCACACCATAAAGAAACACAGTCTTGTAACATAATATGTTACCCAGCAGATTATAGCCTGTTAATTTCGTTAATTCAGTTTATTCATGTATCCGTCTCCCTTTCGGCCCTGTTAACTAAAGTGCGTTGCTCAGCTTCAACTGGCGTGTAGTGAGAAAATACTGCCGATGTTTATGAATAACAATACGCATCGCAGATGCGTAACCATCAAAATGAATGGAACGATATCACACCCAGCAGTTTGTGGGAATTCGAAATACCACTCTGCACGACTTGAAGACTTTCAGAAGGCGAGGTCTGCATGCATGCATGGAGGTTCAATGAATGAAAATTTCTCTACTGACAACCATATATTTGCCCAGTCAAGTCGCACAGAATTTTTGAAGGAAAGCTGAAATGAGAGCAATTGAAGCTATAACGTGAAAACTTCTTTGTTAGATATACACAGTCCAGGTTACAAAGTAAATGTACCCTTCTCCGTTATTTCGTTCAGCAGAGCAAGTAAAATTTGCACTTTTCACAGTATATTCGTGATTTTCTACACCCATATGATCAGAATTTAGCACCGAGCAAAAGATTCCTACTGTAATCTAATGATTTCTGCTTCACAGTTACTAAACGTCCTAGTTTCAAAAAGTTGGCATATAGAAACCAACACAACGAAATTTATATGTAGGATAATAACTTATGAAGCATATCGTGTTGGAATATTTCTTCCGAAGAACAAAATATGAGACCTGGAACAGTTATTTTAACCACATTACTAACTCTAAATTCTGTGATATTAGCAAATATGACTTGTGCAGAGAACAGTCGTGACTCAGTTAAGTGACACAAAAATATGCTGCATGGATCCTCGAGCCGCGTCAAGGGGTTGAAGCATTTCTTGTCGTTGAGTTAGTTTCCATGTGTTTACCTAAACACTGCATACCAATACCGTAGCGCCCTGTCATCTGTCCTCATAGTCCTTGCGGTAAACGCTAGCAAAATACAAATCGCCCGCCTCCTCAGATTGCCTAAGCTTAGTAATTGTATACTGTAGAACAATGTTTCATTAAATGACCAAAATGTGCATGTCACAAAGCAACACAGCATCTGAGACAGCCAGATGTAACGATGGAATCGCTGCAGTTGCCATCATCCATCCATCATCGAGTGTGAAAAGATGTGCATATTTGGCACAGACTACATTTTGCAGAATGTGTCATGCCCTTATATGAGTGTTAAACGGTTGTAAGATTTAATTGTATGCTGTTTGAAGAATATATATTTACTCGTAAATATGTTTCAAAGAAATGCGTACTAGTCGAATAAGTGGATAATAACAGAATTAGGGGTGTATCACACTGCTTGAAATGGTTTTTATTTACTCATCAGATGTAGTCTGGTCCTTCTTCGAAAAAATCCTCAAGTGATCTCTCCCAAGACAACGGGGGGATAATCTTGTTCAAGTCTGGAATGCTTTTTCCATCCATTGATGGATTTTTAACTAGTTTGACTCCATAAATTTATAAACCTCTGGCAAAATTTTGTTTCAAGCTCAACCACCTGAGTTAGGGCAAACGAAGACCTAGACATTTCAACGAAAGGATTCTTATTTCTGCGTGAAATAACGTGTAAGTTGGTAGATCGTATCACTGATTGCTTGGACATTACACTTCTCAACACAGTGATTATTCTCGTGGTTCCCCGCGTCAAATGGAAACAATGGAAATCGCGAAGCGTTCACCGATTACCGCAAATAGTTACATCCATAGATTTACACGTAATTTATGCCATGGTGTATGTGCGCATCGTGATCATTAACAAAATGTCCATAATTATTTGATCTTTTAGTCAACCGATGGGATTGTTGTGACGCTGCTCTTCGCTGCCCATCAGAAGAAGAGGAAGGGCAGCGTCTCGAGTTCAACTGAACCCAGCATGGCAGCCAGCTTTGAAAAGTTACAGGCACTTTTGCAGGAGAAGCATACTAAGTTCGAAAAAGCAGATGCAGTTAATCGAATTGATATAACAAATGTAAACATTCAAGTAGCATGAGAACTGGAATTGTAGCTGACATTGCAAGAAATTGTTTCAGAATGTCAGACATCGCTCAACTGGAATCCATGTACAAATGTGGTCGCAAAGTCTGCAGCCATGGAGGAGCAACACATTTGCCACACTCTCGCTTCTAAATCTGGTATGTCTATCCGAGTTAATAATTCGACGGTACAAATCAATGACAGTCCGAATGCACACATGAATACGCGCCAAGAAGCAATGCTCCAACCTAGCTCAGAATGTTGCGTAATCTCCAGTGCTGCCTTGAACCTCAAGCCAGTTACTAAACCATAACCAGAGCAACACGCGTTGTGCCAAGCAGGACAGAAAAGCACTGCAGTTGTCATGCGGGGAAAAATCGGAGAGACTAGGTTCGTCATTTCAGAATTGGTGACATGGGGTACGTGCGAGAATTCCCAGGACCGAAGTTGCGGTCGACGGGAAGGGTGATCTATAGGAAGGGTGAAGTCAATTACGAACTAACGGTTAGAAACAACTAATGGATACGGCAAACAAATCAGCAGGGACCAAACCATTGAAGAACACATGGACCCGCAGATAACAGAGATAAAAGACCGGCTAGAAGGAGAAGAAAACCACCAAGGCAGCTGATTGATCTCAAAGCAAAGAAAGCTGATTTGAATGAAGTATGCATGGTGAGGAAGCAGCTTCAATTCGAGGGTGATGTCACGGAGGCGAAACAGCTGACTACTATGATGCGCACTAGCGGCTCGAGATTGGCCAGACCATGTGAGCGAATGACTGATTCGTTGTCATGGTTAAACCGGAAGCTGACGAAATCAGAATGTCGTCGCCGAACTGGATGCTATGTTGCAGACCTAATACTACCAACAGTCAGGTATTGAAGCCGCTACCGGTGCCGAATCTATTTAGAAAAGAAATGTACGTCACCACAGTGATAGCGGCGGAGTAACTGTATGTGACCTATA